TATATTCAACCCGCCTCGTAGTCTGGAGGCTGCCGCCGCGTCAAAACCGCCCCGGCACGCAGGAGAAACTCGCATAAAAAACACTGTTTTAACTCCTACAGACCGAGTTGTGACCGGGATAAGTGACAGGCGCCCGGGAAGGAGCTGGTGCGCTGAGGAAGACCGTCCGTTTCAGCCAAACCAGCGCCTCTCAACATCAACATAAACATGTTCGCAGGAGCTGTTGGCGGATTGAGAAAAAAAAAAAGTTTCTGCCGCGTTTCGGTGGGAAACCTTCAACCCGACAGGCTCCCAGCCCTCCCGACACTCAGTCCGCTCCAGAACTGCACGGAGCCACAATGAAATACTGCAGGACCGGCTTAAATTTGTAATAATTTCAGGCTGCGCCTTACCTTCAGGTCCGCACTCTCCGCCATCTTCTATTTCTGTGCGCAGGCGTGCTGAGGTGTTGTCACATGACTGGGACGCGCAGAGGGGATTCGTGAACGCGCACAAAGCGATAGTGATGGGTTCAAGAACACACCTGAAAATAGGAAAAACTAAATTCTATCTATCTATCTATCTATCTATCTATCTATCTATCTATCTATCTATCTATCTATCTATCTATCTATCTATCTATCTATCTATCTATCTTTTAACAACAGCAACAAAAAATACATTATTATTTTATATTAATACCTATGCAAAGTTACTGGCTTGTTTAGTTTCAGTACAGTTTTATTGGTAAACCTGTGAGGTAAGAGTGAAATTGTTGTCTGTGTCACTTTTAGTTATGCAAGTTACTTAAACAGAAGCTTCACCATAATTACAGAGGACAGCAACAATTACAACTAAGAGCAATAAAATTATTTATGAGCTAATAAAACCGCAAAGTTATGTGGTCAAATAAATGCAAGTTGTTAACCAATCTATCAGTTTAATTGGCAGACTTGTTTGAAAGATGTGTCTATAACTGATTGTCTTCCTGTAGCTTTTTGGTTTGCATCCAGTTTTCATCGCTTTGCCTCCAACTAGCTCTACCACCTTTGTCCAAGAGGAACAACAATGATGGACTAAAATACTGCAGAAAGCACAAAGATGCACAGCAGGAAACTCCTTTGGATTTTCAGGGTCGTGTGGGAGAAAATTTGTCCCAAGAAGAAAAAAAAAAAAGTGAGATTTGATATGTGGCCAGCGTGGCGCTCACAACACCATGGAGCATTCTGATACAATCTCTGCGTTGAGCTGTTTCTCGTCTCATGGACTTGGTCCCAGTGCTTCACAAGATCACTGCCTAGAAAAAAAAAAAAAGTGTGATCAAAAAGTCCTCTGAGAGTAACTCGCGATGAACTGTGCATCTGCTAGCATGATGGAGCACCGTGCACTAAGCCAAGAATAACAAAGTGAATCAAAGAGCAGAACCTTGAAATTTTGTATCCTCTCTCTCTATTCTCTGCACTTTGACCCCTTTTTAACAACACACCCTTTTTTATTACCTGTGGTCAGTTCGTTCAACCCAGGTCCATAGGCAGAGCTTAACAACTCCAAGAAATAACACTTCTCCTAACTTTTGGTTCAGCGTCCACAACACTTAGGCCTTTGTGTATCATATATGCCTTTTGTCATTTCTTCCAAAAAATTGCCAATCATTTTGCGCATGCATCGATTGCTTCTGTACAACACTCTGTTGTTTCATAATGTTCTATATACTTATGTCTCAAAAATGTCTCCCAAAGTGAACAGTTTCTCTCACGTGAACATCAGCTTCTACTAATCATATTTACGGTTGTGCACAGCTTTACCCACAGGCTGTTTCTAATGTTCGCTGAAAATAAATTTGTGCTTTCTTTTGCGCAACGTTGTGAATGAATAGGAACAGCAACGAGCAGCAAAAATGCAAAGCATGCATATTCAGTGTCTGGTCCTCATTTAGCTCACAAAAAATACAGTTAAGTGTAACTGACTGTATCTGTCAGTTTTCAAATGGCTGTACAAGTAATCCAAAGTATTTTCAGTTAGTGTCTGCAATGAAATCATGACAAAGCTATTTGAATATATTGTTCATAAACATGCGAGGACTTTTCATTCTGATGACATGATTCTTGCTTTTGATGAATGAAGACTCCACTGTGAGCATTTTGCAACATTTTGCAGTTTGTAGTTTTTTTTTTTGTTTTTTTTTTTTTTTTTAGAAATGCACAAGCTGTTACATAAATGCTAAGTGAGCTGATAAATGCACCAAACAGCCTGAAAAAAACTCTATGACAAGAATAGTCAGGTTTTGTCCTAGAAGTTGACAAAGAGAAAAATAAATAATCTGTGAAGGAGAAGAGTCAACTCGTAAAAAATTTTGATATGACAAAAATAAAACCTTCTGACTTGTTTTCAATTGTTTAGTCTTCAAAACACTGTGAAAACTAAAACATTTAAAAGGCACAGAACCCAACATTAGTCATGTTATCTAGATTTCTGGTCATGACATTTATCTTTCTTTCATTAGAAAGGTGTTGGGATAAAATGGCGACAACGTGCAAATATAAATTAAGTACTGAGTTGCTTTAACCACTAAAGGCATAAATAATTGTCCAAAAAAGCTAATCCAACCGATACTAACTCAATCGACTGAAACTACAATGAAAATATTTCGTCAACAATCTTTTATTGCTTCAACAAACTAAACTAAAACTAGGCAAAAAGCCAAGTAGAATGACAACAATTAAAATGAAATGTTAAGGTTTTTGTCGACTAATAAAAAAACAAGACCACAATATTGTATGGAGATGAATTTTAGTTGTCTGAAAAGGAGGAAGTAGTTGCTTGTAAAAACTAAATATTTCCTCTAGGTGTTATGGTGACACATTGTAAGGGGTCATAGACATTCACTTTTCACTGATCTTTTTTTCTAATTATTTAAGTAAACTAAGTTGACTGACTAAAATGCAAAACAAATTAAACTGCATCCTAGTCAAAAGTCTTTGACTTAAAAAAAAAAAAAAACATTAAAATGGCCCATCAAATTTAAAACTGTTTCCAACATGTTGGAAGGACTTGACTCTTTTCAGAAACCGTCCTGAGAGCGCTGGAAAGTTTCTACTGAAAGTTAAAACTGCAAAACTATTCACACCCTAGAGCTGTCATTTTTGTTACCTTACAACCAAAACTTGAAAGCAAACTTTGGCGGGATAACCTTGGACTTTCTGTTAAACTTAAAACGACAGCCTCTATCACGCGACCTTCGGCACATTTTGTTCTTTAACAGCCAGTTTCTGACTATCCTTCATGCTGTGGCCCAACGAGCCGAAGGCCACACATGTTTACGTACTGCTTCAGACCTTGGCTGTTGCATGATGTTTTCTCTGCCTCTGTAAATAATGGAACAGTTAAATTCTTTGCAGATCAGAGCTGAGAAATATTTTGGGGTCTTTCTGATGATTTTCCAATTAGAATTTTAAAAAAAATGTTATTGTAATGTTTCCGTTTTGGTGACAAAAGCAGAGCTTCAAAGAACTTCTTTGTTAAGCATATGAATATTTCAATTTTAAGCCTTCATTTGTTTCTTTCACAATTTTTCAATCTGGCTCAAACTCAAACTAGGAATCTTCAGATACACTTTCTGATGTTGTGGCCAACCGGATATTTGTGGAGAAAAATAAAACTATTCTTTACTTTGCTTTTGGAGGCCAGTAGGTGGCGCCAAGTGATTTCAAAAGAGAACAAATCCAGCATGACGCGAATCCTCCAGAGCTCATCCTGCACAATTACCAAACATTGGCATCCCTGCTTACTGTAATAAGGCTGTTCTTCCACGCCGCACCGAACTTTATAACACTAAACACATTTTGGCTTTGTGCACAAATCCATAATGAAGATAAAAAAAAGAGAAATGCACAAAGACTTATTGACAAACCAGTTCTGCTGCTTGGTTCAGAGAGAAGAGGCCTCATTATGTCATCATGTATCGCTGCCATCTGTTGCATTGTTGATGCCCAGCGAGGGGACAGGTGTCCACTGACCACAAATGATTATAGACCAAATAATCAATCCACATCCCAGGGAGCAAATACTGTCAGACCATGATCCAGAAGCAAAAGTAAAGAGTTATTCTTCTTATGAAATGCTCGATATGACTGTGAATGGGATCCACTGATGCACTTAAAGTTAAACATGAAGGCCTGACGTCAAACAAAAAAACGTCTATCGCCCAAAAACTACGTGGTGTAAACAAGTCATTAAATGCAACGCAGTCAACTCTGAATCAACCCTTCTGATTAAATTATACAGCAATAAAGTAGAAGATAACAAAATTGGTCATGGCATAGTTTGTACGAGGCCATCCATATTTATTGGTAAATACTTGCAAAATCCTAGAAAATGTATTCATCTTTCATCGCTGAACAAAATCCCACTCTGTGAATTTTAGAAAACAAACAAACAAACAAACAAAAAAAAAAACTCAAATATTTAATATCACTAAAATATTTATTCAATTCAGGAAAAAAATCCCACATTAACATATAAAGTTTTGTTTTCATCTTTAAATCACTCACTGGTACCACAGTTAGTGTTGCCGCAAATTCCTGCTTAAAATATTAATACAGGATTTTCACAATTGTGCGGCGCCTCAGGTTGATCTGTGTCTCTAATAGTTTATCAGTAATCCACAATTTCCTGTTCTTCTAGGACATGGCTGTCTACCGCCAGCCCTCAGCCAGGTTTACAAGTGACACACCTGATTCAAATAATCCAAATAGCTCCTCAGTATGTCACAGTCCATCTTACCCACTTCTCAAAATAATAGGTAAGACGGGAGAACATGCCAGTCTACAAGCCCTATAAGAGCTGATTTATCCCTTGCAGTCCACTCTACTCTTTGTTTGACTGTAAAGACAGTGTCATCGGTTCACCAGGGTCGCCGTGGAGATTCAGGTGCAGTTCAGTTTTTTGTGGCTGTGCTGAATTGGTAGTTTTGTCTCCAGCCAGAGGGTGGCACCAAACACCAACACTACATCCTGTTTACACCCCTTGTCCTATGGGCCCTAACAAAAGCCCCAAAATAAAGCAGCTTACTTGAATTTGAAATCCAAACTCTATTTTGCATGATGAAACAATCTGTTATTTATCAATTCAACTCAATTTAATTCATTTTTATCATGTGTTGCACAACACAAAAAGACGATCAATAGTAGCACACTTTACTTTTTACGACAAGCCAACTGTCATAAGTTTTCTTTTACACAGCAAAGGTTTGTTGTGATTATATAAATGTGAATTACTGCTGAATTAACTATACTGAAAGGGAAAAAAGTCAACAATCGGTAACTTTTTTGTCAACAGTTCATTTTTTTATGCTGTTTAGGACGTCAGTTGTAAAAATACTTCTCTCATACATCATCCTTCAACATTTCATGTTGAAGATGTTCAACATAAGAACATCTTCAACATAAGATGTTGACCATAAGATGTTCAAAATCTTATGTTTAATATCCTGCCAAATTATATAAGACGTTTAACATCTTGTGTAGGACAGTATGTGTGAACTTATAACTTATGACCTGTTGGACAGTGAAACATCTACTCACGGCTTCAGCAAGTAATCAACTAGGGAAACTCTGAGTTAGGGCAGCTTTATGTCCTCCATTCTGAATTTGTTTTTATTATGTCTGAGATTGTTAATTGTTGTTTGGGAGCTTGTGTGTGATGTGACGGGCTAGCTGGAGGTGCAGGTCAAATACAAGTTCAATTCATACATCAATTCAGTTTATTTGACGTGTGTGTGTGTGTGTGTGCGTGCGTGCGTGCGTGCGTGCGTGCGTGTGTGTGTGTTGTTCACCGCAGCGAACAGAGACTCCAGGGATACTAGCAGCACAAAGAAGGCACAAAACCTCCTGAAACAGAAAGTTAAAAAAACAAAAGAGATCTGAACCAACAGAAATACAGAGATATAATGAAGAGAAATTGTCACAGAAAGGATTATCAAGCCTGCATTGACTTTGTATTTTTACCAGGAGAAGCAACATGCAGACACAGAAAGGGAAACCTGCTCACCAAGTTGACATCCAAAACCAGAGCCGCTTGAGGCTGTGGGACCCAAATTCCAGTGCACATTATGTCTGAAATAAATAGGCATAATTAAACTGTGGAGACGAAATATGACTTACTCGTTTGGTGTGACAGATGTGTGTGGAGTACAGCAGACTCAGCAGTCAGAGAGGAGCTTCCATCTGTCATTTATTTATTGATCGGTTTGAAGACACGAGCAGCAGAAATGAGTCATCAAGCAACAGTAAATTACATATGTTAACATAAATATCAATGAAAATTTTCCTCAGTATATTACTTGAACCTCAAGCAAATAAAAAGCTGCAATTCTGTAAACTGAAAAAAATATATATCTCAAGTTTTGTTTTTAATATATTTGAAGTTTTAGCTATAATTTATGTGAAATGGCCCTTTACCTGAAGCAGCTTAGCTTGCACATGCCTTGACCTGGCTCTGTTTCACATCCACAATGTGTACTGTACATCAACAACATGAACACAAGGAAGCTACAAAATGATGCAAGAAGGCTATAAAAATGCAAAAGTAAAAAATGATTTTAAGACTATCAGATTTTTAAAAAAAACTGAAATTAGAGTTTGGAAAACCGAAGCATACAAAATAAATGAATAAACATTAACAATGACACAAAAACATACACAAAACTATTCTCTAAAAACCATAATGACACAAATTAAAAGAAATTTGAAAAACACAAAACAATGACATTAAAATGACTACCACATTTTGTCTGCTTGTATAGCTCGTTATCCCTGAAGAAGGCCCTGCTGTTCGCTGGCCAGACACTGCTGACTGGTTACATAAAGGTTACAAAATAACCAAGCAAAGACAATAAAAATAATAATAATAATAATAAAAAAAATGCTGAAAAGATCCACACAAAAAAAGCACAAACTGTATGACACAAATCAAGAACAGGGAGACACAAAACCTCAAAAAAGAAATGAATAAAAACAAAACTTAAAAATACCCCAAAAATACAATAAACACAATTCAACCTACAAATATTCATAAAAATAACAGCAAACAGAAAGACAGACATTCTCAAAAACAATCACAGGTGAGTGACACATGCCAAAAAAAAAAAAAAAAAACTCACAACACACAAAACAAGCACAAAGAGAAACGTAAATCCTGCCAAATAATCCCAGGGACAGTCGATCAATTAAACGAGATCAAACTCAACAAGACAAGTAATCCGTCAGTGTTTGTGTCCACATATCAGCCCCAGTCATCCCCACCGTGTCATGATGCTGCTCATCTTCTGGAGCTCGTCAGCATTCAGAGGGAACAAGCTCTGCCTCAGAGGGCAATTATGTCTGCAGAAAATTAGCATTCAACCTGCACCAGTGACATTATGCGAGTGTCTGTCTCAGCATGAGGCACGCAGGGTAATCAATATCTATTAGTCGTCCCATCTGAAGAATTAGATTTCACCAGTGGATCAACCAGCCTCCCTCACCCCCACCTCGCCTCCCCGACTCCACGTCAAACATTAGAAGATGACTGGACATGTCATGCGCTGATGTCGGCCGCCTAATGAAAGAGATCATGTTGAGCTCAAACTACTATGGGAGGCAACCTGATCCACACCGGAGGAGAGGGGAGCTGTTCTGGAAAGAGGCCAGCAGGTGTCAGGCTCCCAACAGGGGACCTAGAGGGAAAAAATACCAGTAAAGGCCCAGAGAGCTTTTTCAGGTTTTATTTGAATTTGTACAGAGATAAACAGGAGAATGGTGTGTTTGTGTCAGAAAGCAAGAGTCGATTCTTTCAGAGCTGCTTTCGAGTCGATTCTTCTTTTGAACGAGTTCAGCGAATGAGAAAGAACAAAAAAAGACAAAAGAAGAAGCTTGTAGTTTACATACTTGGAACAGTGTTCGTATAAAAAGCGCTTCAGGTGAAAAAAAAAAAAAAAAAGGTTTTGGTTCAGTTTGCTGAGACAGACAAATTCAACAGAAAGTAAGAATGAGAAACACATTCTTAAACAGATGCATCAGTGTGTTGGTTTTGTTTTCTTCTTCCTTTTAGCTCGTTGCAGAACTTTTCTTTACAGTCTGAAGTGAAAACCTGAAGGGGTCGCTGCGCTAAGTGCTCGTTACTACGTGCTGCGTTTGTGACACGCAAAGACGAATTGAAACGTGTTTTAGTTTTGGTGTTTGGAAAAGTCGTCCGTTTAAAGTGCTTCATGACAAACACGGTGTACAAACCCAAGATAAATTACAAATACATGTAAAAACATATTCAAAGATGCAACAGAATCTAACAAATGAGGGTTTTTTTTAACTTAATGTCATAATAAATACAAGCATTGCACATTGTCACATGACATATATATATATATATATTTGTATGTAAATAATGTAGTATTTTTCTCTTCAGAGTAGTGAAAGAGCAAACAGTTTCCATTCGTTCCTTGGTTTGAGCTCCGCAGCTTCGGATCAGCAGTTCTCCGGTTCGCAGCGTGAAGCTCACGTTTCCTCTTTAACACAAGAGTCTGGTTCTTTGGAGGAGAGGCCGCGGCCCAGTCCGTCTCCTCCGGAGCCTTGAATGATTCTCTCAGAGGTGTATCCACACAGCAGCAGCAGCAGCAGCAGGAGGAGGAGGAGGAGCAGCAGTCCCGGGTTCACAGGTGGGAGAGGTGAACACATGAAGGCTCTCGAGGCCGGATCTTTGAGTGTGTTTGTGAGTTTGTGTGTTTGTGAGTTTGTGTGTGTTTCCTCGGGCTGCTGGGGTGCGCTGGCACTAAGGGGGCAGCAGGGGCGGCTTGAAGGTGCAGGCTCCGGTGCACTGACGGGGAGTGAGCATCTTGCAGGAGAAATGGTGAAGGGCGTCGTGAGCTTCTGGGGGGGAAGGAGTCCGTCGGCGAGGACATGAAGGCGAGAACAACAACAAAAGTTTGATTAGCGACCGGTTCTATTTTAATTCTGACATGTTAAACGAGAGGTGTCCAAAGCGCGGTCCCGGGTACCCCGTTTGTGGCCCTCTGAAAAAATGACACTTCGCTCGTTGCAAACCTGACTGACCAGAACAGGAGGTTGAGAAATTGCAGCAAAACGCGTTTGAAGAAAGAGCAAAACTCAACCTGTTTCAGTTGACAACAAATGACTGGGAAATCTCAGAAGTTATAAAAAAAAAATATGCCCACTTTGTTTCTTCCATTTAAAAAAACATGTTCATTTTATCTCTTGAGCATTTAAAAGTAAAAAAAAAAACAAAAAAAAAGAAAGAAAGACAAGATGACTGATGAAACAAAATTAGTGTTTAACTTTTTAATTAAATCTTAAATTTAAGTACTTTCAACTTGTCTCATACAACAACATGTTACAACACCTCTAGAAAATGTCTGTGTACGGAGTGTAAGTAAGTAAGTAAGTAAGTAAG